AAAAAAAAAAAAAAAAGAATTGTTAAACAACCTCATGTACTGATGAAGGAAATCTAAGTATCACATTTCCAGAAGCCAAGTAGTATGGAAAACCTTACGGATGCACATCTCCTTTGATGTAATGATTTTATTTCTAGGAGTTTATCCTAAGGAAATGAGCAGAGGTATATACACAGAAAAGTGTCTAAGATTATCTGTAAATAGCAATAAACTAGAAGCAACCAAAACACTAGGACTAAATTGACTAGTTTTGTAAACATCAATCCAATGCAATACATATGAAAAAAACCATATTGCAATACATAATATGCCATGAAAAATAAATAACTATTAATATTTATACCTAGAGAAATAAGATTACAAGAAATTTTTCCTTCCTTACATTATGCATTTCTGTAATGTTTGACTTTTTACAATTGTCTTATTATAATACACTTTTTAAATACTGCTCTACTAAACCACAGAGAAATACCAAACTGACGTGAAAAAAAATTCACTAGGGGCGCCTCGGTGGCTCAGCTGGTTAAGTGTCCAACTTCGGCTCAGGTCATGATCTCAGAGTTTATGAATTCGAGCCCCACATCGGGCTCTGTGCTGACAGCTCAGAGCCTGGAGCTGCTTCGGATTCTGTGTCTCCTTCTCTCTCTGCCCTTCCCCCACTTGTGCTCTGTCTCTCTCTGATTCTCAAAAATAAATAAATATGAAAAAAAAAATTTTAACAGAAGTTACTATATCAGTTTCTACTGACTAAAAATCTCTAACATAGTGCATACAGTACAATCTCATTTCTATTTTTAAAAACTGAATATGTGTACATTTAAAATAAACCAAAAAAGACATTCATCATTATGTTAATAATATATGCCTCTGGATCATATAATTATAGGAAATTTTTTCTTTGTAGATGTTTACCAGTGTCTATAGTAAAACAGTACTGCTTCTAACCTTTTCTAATCAGAAAAAAATTATTTGTAAGAAATTCTAAGGGTGATTAGAAAGATGATTCCTAAAAAGATAGCACCTCTTTTATTCTGTATTCACATTACTATAAATTTTTAATTTTTATATCTTACTTCACTCTACCTTATCAAAACAGAAACCTACATCCATTAGGTTTCTCTGTTCTAATTATCAACTACTTTCTCATCTCCCATTTATTACTTCCAAGATAAGTAAAAAGAAGACATCCTAGGGAATTAATGTAGCAGTGGTCTTAGGCCCAACACAAGGACCTAAAGATCAGAGTAAACGGCTGGCACATAAGAGGCACTCAAATACATACTAAATAATATGCACAGTATTCCAGAAATAATATCACCTCTTGCAACTATGACAAGGCTAGGATTACTGTATTAGCACAAGATAGGCTGCATATCTGCCAGAAAGTTTCCTACATGGAAATTTCAATGAAAGAAATAATATACTAAATGTTTAGAAGCATAAAGCAAATATGCAATTACAATATATTAAGATTCCATGTTCACAACATGAAAACATTTATAGTCTACTTAGGGAAAACAGAAATGAGTTAATATTACCAGAAAATATTCCCACATGGCAAGATTTTACTCTTAAAAAAATCTGCAAGTTGAAAAAAACCAAGTCATGAAGTAGAGTATCTGGGAAGGTATTAAAGATGAGATAAGGGGTTGACAGATAAGCAGAAGTCCATTTTGGGTTTTACCAAATGATAGAAATGAGCAAATATGACAAGTAGAACAAGCTGAGTTGTTAACCCAGTGAAAGAGGTTGTCAATATTCCTGAAATTATCCCAGAATCCAACAGAATGTCCTCCTCTCCTCTCTTCAGCATCCTAATCCTGTCCCTTGTTAGTAGGTTTACTACCACACTCCTAGAAGAAAAACCAGACTAGGACACAGCCAGAAGGAACTGACCTCAGAAGCAAAAGTTCAACCAACTTTTCCACACTGCACTGAAAATATCCATCTATGCTATAAAACGAAAATGCATCAAATTACATACCACAGTATAAGCTGACACGACAACAAAATGAATCAAGTTTACCATATAGCATATACTGCCTCACTACCACCCCAGATGGATCTGCCCTACTCTGAGAAACAGTAACTATCTTATTTTGTACTCATCTCTGTGTGTGTGTGTGTGTGTGTGTGTGTGTGTGTGTGTGTGTTTGTACTATTCATTCATTAAAAGCAAAATTTTGTTTTAATTCATCTGTCCTTCAATGTCTAGCACAATATCCTCTTAGAGTTGGAACTAAATAAATACTGAATGCATGAAAAAACTAACTCTACTTCGCCATCACCAGCACAGATGCAGTATTTTGGAATCCAAAAGAAGCATAAGTATCTCGACTAGTGATCAAAATAAGGAGAATAGAAGGATATATACCTGGGTCTACCTGAGAAGTTTTCAAAAGCTACTCACACTGCAACTGTTAAAAATAAGAATTCAGGGAGCGCATGGGTGGCTCAGTCACTTAAGCATCTGACTTCGGCTCAGGTCAGAATCTCACAGTTTGTAAGTTCAAGCCCCACATCGGGCTCTCTCTGTCAGTGCCAAGCCCATTTCAGATCCTCTATCCCCCTCTCTGCCCCTCCCCCACTCTCTCTCTCAAAAACATTTAAAATAATAATTATGATGATGATGATGATGATGATGATGATTATTCAGGGGGCACCTAGGTGGCTCAATCGGTTAAGCATCCAACTCGTGGACATCCAATCGTAGGATGGACCCCTACACTGAGCTTCCCACTGAGCGTGGAGCTTGCTTAGGGTATTCTCTTTCTCTCTCCCTCTGCCCCTCTGCCCCACTCATGCTCTCACTCTCTAAAATATAAACTGGGGCAACTGGGCGGCTCAGTAAGTTAAGTGTCCAACGTCAGCTGAGGTCATGATCTCGCAGTTGGTGGCTTCGAGCCTCAAATCAGGTTCTGTGTTGACAGCTAGAGCCTTGAGCCTTCTTGGGATTCTGTGTCTCCCCCTCTCTCTGCCCTCCCCTGCTTGTACTCCGTCTCTCTCTCTCTCATTCTGTTTCTCTCGCAAAAATAAACTATAATTAACTAATTAATTCCGTGCTAGGGTGTGCTGACATAAATGGGTGTCTATGTCCTCTACTAAGCGTATTTCTGATAATGAAGAATGAGTATTTTGAAGTTTTGCCCTTTGCAACAACATGGATAGACCCAGAGGATTTTATACTAAGTGAATTAAATCAAAGAAAGAGAAATACGACATGATTGCACTTATATGTGGAATCTAAAAAACAAAACCAAAGAACAATCAAACAAACAGAAACAGACTCCTATAAATACAAAGAACAAACTGGCAGTTGCCAGAAGGGAGAGGGATGGGCAAAATAGGTGAAGAGGATTCAAAGGTACAAACCTCCAGTAATAAAATAAGTAAGTCATGGAGATGAAAAGAACAGCATAGGGAATACAGTCATAACATTATAATAACATTGTATGATGACAGCTGGTAACTACACTTATTGTGGTGAGTACTGAATAATGTAGAGAATTATTGAATCACTATGTTGCACACATGAAACTAATATAACAATGTCAACTATACTTTAGTAATTTTTTTAAAATGAGTATTTCTCGGGGCGCCTGAGTGGCTCAGTCGGTGAAACATCTGACTTCGGCTCAGGTCATGATCTCATGGTTTGTGGGTTTGAGCCCCGCATCGGGCTCTGTGCTGACAGCTCAGAGCCTGGAGCCTGCTTCTGATTCTGGGTTTCCCTCTCTCTCTGCCCTTCCCCTGCTCATGCTGTCTCTCTCTGTCTCTCAAAAATAAATATTTAAAATTTTTTTTGTCTAATAAAATGAGCATTTCTCTATAGATGTATGATTACTATTTATTAAGTATATACCTATCTATAAGATATAAATATACTTGTTTTTTTAAACTTTTGGAGCATAATTTTTATTTGGGAACAGCCTCTAATGTACAGAAAACTATGCCACTTTAACCATACAAAGACCTCTTCAAATGTTTTCTCAAGCCCTCTATTCATCTACCCCTAACACACACAAACTTTCTGGTTTCTCTTCATTTTTCTGTAAGTAATTGTAGACACTAGGGTAAATGGAGCCCTTATCATAAATATCTTTTTCTCTCTGTAAATAGGGATGAGTACATACAGAAAAAAATCAGAGTAATTTTTTAATAAATCTGTTATTCTACGA